TCAATTTTGGTTGTCTTTTTGTGGACAGGCAACTTATTTTTGTCAACATACAATTTATTTATGTTGGCATGCATTTTTTCAAATTCTTATTTGTTTTTTCTTGTATGCGGACATATAGACATGTATGTTGCATGTTGACATGATGACCTTGCATATCAACATAATCTAAAAAATAACTTGTGTATAGGGGGCAAAAGTATGTCATAACGCATTATTTTTTTCTTCCATATTTCTGATTTCAAGCCTTTTTTATTTAATAAATATATACATGTATTGAAATTATTATTATTATCATCATCATCATAATCATCATCATTATTGTTGTTGTTTTGCTTTCACTGAAGCAACTATTATATAATAATAATAATAATAAAGCCTTTATTTATCCAGGATGACATAGTTTAGCAACAATGCTTGTTTTCAACACATACAGACAGGTATTAGTAAAACACAGTATTAAAGAAATAGAGTACATATAAGAGAAAATAATAAATGTGAAATATAAAATAAATAAATACCAAACATAATTAAAATGTATGGTGGTATTCTCTAAGATAGTTTCTCTTAAAACATACAACACTTGTTGAATTTCTGATGTTTTCACACAAGGTATTCCACATATTGCTACCTGAAACACTGAAAGATCTCTTATAATATTCAGTCTTTGTCCTGGGTACATACAATAAATTTGAGTTGGAATTTCTTGTTTGCCTCTAACTAATTTCTGATACATATTTAAAAACATTTAAATAATCTGGCAATAATCCATGTAATACTTTTTACACTAAAATACTTTTCTATAGATACAATAATAATCTGATAGGGCATCCAGTTAAGTTGTGTAAACATGAGAGAAGATTGCGTTTGAAAATTTCTTATTTTCAAAATGACCCTAGCAGCACGTTTTTGTAATATTAAAAGCTTTTTCACATTATCAGAATTTCTTGAATTGCTCCATATGGTACAACAATATGTAAAATGAGGAAAAATCATAGTATTAAAAATCTTCAACAATGCATCATTTGACATAAAATATCGTATTCTTCTTAAGATACCAATTCTCTTGGATATCTTGCATACAAGTGCTTCAATATGACTTTTCCAGGACAAAGTTTCATCAATACTAATACCAAGTAATTTTGACTCCTGAACACATTCTATGACATGGTTATTTACAACTAAATTTAATTTTCGACATTTTGATAATCTTTGTACCGTTCCAACAAGCATACATTGAGTTTTAGACAAATTTATGCTTAATTTATTTTGCTCAATCCAACACATACTGCGTTTCAGGTCTTCACACATCTTTGATTCTATGTTTTCTACTGACTTATCTGTTACATCTTGCAAGGTATCGTCTGCATACATATTTACATGAGAGTGTTTCAGTGCAACTACATGTATGGAAAGCTAACAGTCTATGAAATGAGTACGCCTACCGATCTCAAGTCCGTGTATTTAATCACCAATAACACTGTCTGATGAAACTATAAAAATGATAATTTATATTTATTACATGGAAGAAGATAAATATAATAGAATTAATCATTATTTATCAGAATGGACAAATGATGAGTAAAGTAGTGTACATAAATAATGTAAATGTATATATACATATTATTTGTAAAATAAGAATTAAACATGTGTAATATTAAAATGTTTTTGTTGTCTTAATTTACTGAATTTGACTGCTTCAAGAATTGAGCAGTAGCTTTTAAAGGTGTCATAACAGTATTTCACTTGAGGTTCACGTCAAATCATGGCTGACACAAAATAATTCCTGAATCTTCCCTTCCGATTCGGGCATTTTAACACGAGACTGGAGCTGAATTTTTTTATGAAATGAAAAACAATATGTAAACTTCCTATATTGACTAGATTCATTAAAATTTAGGGCGTGCTGAATTTTCTATATACTGTATTTGAGTGGGGAGTGATTAGGTCCTGGACTTGATTTTCAAGCACCTGCTCGACTTCGAGCGAGACAAACTTGCGTGCCTTGCTGGATGGCTATGTATTTTTTGGTACTAAAATCTTTATAAAGAATTGTTTTACAAGATCTGAAAAGGAAACTTCTCAAAAGTTTGTTTTCAATTAATACCACCTACTCAAAGTTGCGCATTTTGGGTAAGAATATATAGCAAAATTTAATACTGTTGTGCAACCTTAAACTGTTATCTTCAAAAAGCAAAATTTTCAAAATTGATTAGAATGTAAGATTAATGAAAAGAACAAACTCCCCTTTTTTTAATTATTAAGTCTTGTTCTGTATATTCTAATTGAAAATATTCAGTATATGTCATTTCATTACCTTGAATTAGGAATAAAATAAATCTGCATCATTTAAAAACGGATTGGTATGAAATCCATTAGAATGTAAGATTACTTAAAAGAACAAACTCCCCTTTTTTTTAAATTATTAAGTCTTGTTCTGTATATTCTAATTGAAAATATTCAGTATATGTCATTTCATTACCTTGAATTAGGAATAAAATAAATCTGCATCATTTAAAAACGGATTGGTATGAAATCCAATTATGAAGAATAGAGTAAACAACCTGAGAGAAAATGCATTCATTTTATGGATGAAATTAACTGCAATTTAATTGAAGTGAATTACTTCATGATAAGTTTAGCCTTGGCCTTTCATACACCTATTTCTGTAAAAATGAATCATGCAAAATTAATTATTTTGACAAGTTAACAAAATAATTAGCTATAATTAGAATATCGGTTTGCATAATAATTGCTACAAAATGTAAATAAACTCAACAAATGTCCTGCACATTTCTGACCTATACATTTACTTTGAAATCATTAATATAATTTAAGAAAAATAAGTTTACATTGACTCAGAGTAGTCTTAAATCAAGACAAATTATACAGCCGACAAAATCCACTATGACCAGTATTTAAGAATATAGTCAAGTGTATATGTGTGTATGGCATTTTATATTACAGAATATATATAGTTTGGACCGTGCACGTAGAGTTACAGGGATGTAATGAAATAGTTGAAGGGACATACACTTAATTGGGATCTTTTTATACTTAAAAAGTATACACTACTTACAATAAACTGAGCACTATCAGCATTTTCCCATTCAAAGTCGCTTTGCTATTTTTCACAATATACCATGAAAGGGTACAATATTTTGAGTACAAGATTCACTTTATTTGTATTTACTGTAAACATACTTTTTTTCCACGGGGTCATAATTCCTCAGAATCACAATTTCTGTTCAATCCATGGGTAGAAAATTATACAGATTTCTTGGATTGGTATTGTATGTCTCAAATATACTAAAGTACGCCGTGACTTCCGCGGAAAATTTGTCGACGCGTACAAAGCGATAATTAATCCTACGAGGACAAAGGTACGTCTACAATATTTTCTTTTACTTACAAATTTATATATATAAAAAAAACCTTGTATTTATATACCATGTTTTTTCCAAATGTTTACATTATGCCTGTAATTAATAATGATGTGAAGAAAAAAGTTCCTGTATGGAATGAATTTTAAAACGTCCTTCTTTAAAATGCCATGTCTGTTAGAAGAAACATTTTTATACATATCTCAGAGTATATTATACATATAATTGCAATCTTTTTCTGCCAACATATAGCTTTATTCAGGATCATATTTTTAAAGTATCGGGGGAGGGGGGGGGGCTAAAAAAGTTGACCAGCAAATTATAAAGAAAACTAAACTAAAAACAAATGCAGAAACCATAAAATGTGCAAACTCTAAGATCTTATTTCGTGGGGGAGGAGAGTGGGCCTTTCCTTCCTCTAACTTTTCAATACATATTTGTTTTCTTTTCAAATACTGAAATTTGATTATTTTCTGATTGTACAGCAACAAAATGTGGGTAGGTGGAAGGGCAAGAAGATTCTAAATAAAATTTACATATTAAAACTACAGCAACAGAGTATTCTCAAAATAGTAGATATACATCTTTTATGTGTCTAAAAATATTCAAATTTCAATTTAAAAAGTACAAACTTGTTGAAGAGGATCTAATATCCATATCAAACATGAAAAACTTACACCTTCAGCAAAATAAAAATACTTTCCACTTGTAAAGTTAATCCAAAGTAAATATATTACACGTGTACAACATGTATACAATCGCCATGCAAAGTTTCAAAGATATGAGATTTAAACTGTTGAAAACTATTTTTCGGAGAAGGTACCCACTGATAGCCTGAGAGGAAAATACAAGTTCAGCAATAGAAAAAATGTAGACATTAGAATTGTTAAATTATACCAAAATAGAGGTAGCATATCTTCGATGTGTGTATAATCATTGTGCAAGACTGGCGAATGTGTGCGGAGTGAAGCGGTTACTAGACGTTGGCGACAAACGTAAAAGTGTTACATTGTGGCACATTGCTGGGATGTATAAATAATCTAAACCAGAGAGAGCTATGAGGAAAAAAAGATTTTTATTTATTTATAAACCAAAATTTAAAAAGTTGGATTTTAAATTGGAAAACCTCAAAGCAGAATCGGGATTAAAATTTTATCATTAATGTAAATCAGTTCCTTGTTTGTGGCTGTAGAGAAACATAAGGTCTTGAATTTCTCAATTATATAATAACCTCACGTAGAAATGATATGTTTAATAATTCCTCATGAGTGCTTGATCAAAAAATAAATTTCCTTTTTAAAATTTGATATTTAATTTTTTTCGTATTTTAAAAGTCGAGGAATGTAAAATGCATACTAATAGCAGAACGTTTCATTAGTGTTTTTTTTATGCTGTAGGATTGCCATCAAGCAACATTATCATTTTTCATCCAATTGATGATCTGTCGCTAATGGGTTATTACTTAAATCATATTTTTTTGTTTTTTTATGAGACTGTCGTTAACTTTACCTGTACCGTAATTGACATGCTAATCATGTGTGATGTACACAAAACGCTTAAATTTATAAATCAATCAAATGTCTTTGTTTATAGGTGATTCCCGTTTTTTAAGCTTATCTCATAGTATAAAAGAGGGGAAATCTTTCACATCTTTGCCTTTTGGACTTAATCTGACATAGGACAAAGTAAGTACCTTACCAATAAAAAAAAAATTCTTTGCCTTTTTCTCGGTATCATTTTTAATGAAAATTTCATTACAATTTTATTTGCTCTTCAAAATATCCTTTCTTTTGGTCTTTTGAGATTTTGATGATGCTTGCATTTAATCATTTGCATAATAAAATCCAACAAATTTTAAAGAACAGATTTTTGGTATTAATGACAATAATATTGATATAGATAATGTTTTGTATGAAGCAAAATGTTAACAAATTTTAATTATTATTTTTTTTTTCTCTTTCTCTAATCAAATAAGAAGATGTCATAGGTAATCAAAATATACTTCAATTAAATTATTTTGTGAAAGAAAAATTGTGACTGTTATGTATCTCCCATGGCGCTTATTTCTCACATAGGCATTGTTGATCTGATTGAATTGCATTATTTTTATCTCCAAGAATAACATTCAACACAAAATTTTCGATAAGATATTAGTTATATGACGATTACCATGACTGTTGTCATGTGATGTCTAAATCTACCTTATACATGACCTTAGATATTTTCTGTAGAAATATTTTTTTTCAGTTCTAGCATAGAAAATTTAGCTGTTGAATAAATGCGCGGACAAATTGCACATAAAAAATATCTGACTTCAAAACAAAAACAAAAATACACATTTATAAAATAATTTTTAATTATATAATATTCAAAAATTTTATTTCAAATTTTGTAAATTGATATCAATCTCTTTTTTTCCTAAACAGGGAACAATGATTGCCTTTGTACTTCTGGTTTCCGTTGCGCTCTGCAGTGCTGATTACGACAAGAAAGGTCATTCAGGTGGATTTCCAGTATATCCACCAGGAGGAGTGTATCCACCAGGAGGAGTATATCCCCCAGGAGGAGTATATCCACCAGGAGGATTTCGTATGTATTTTGCATAGCTATATTTCCGCCCTGTTAGTTAATACTTATTGCTTCTTAGATTAGAACGATTCTGTAAGGATAAATTGTTATAGAAAAAGTCAACAACGATAGAGTTAATCAAGTGATTATTCGATTCATCTAACCGGAAATGTGCTGCATTATTTGTACATAATGTACACTGGAAAGGAATCAACAAACTTTTTATAATCTGCCTTAATACAGTAAAGAAGTAAAAATGAAATACATTAGGAATTCAAAATTCAGTTTTGAATTATTATGTATCATTAGTTCGTCTTTTAATCCTTCTTTCAAATGTAATTAAAAATAAAAACAACTTATCTGTTTTTATTTTAAACTTTTCATTTTCTTTTTACACCGTAGAATATAAATATGGCACATGCCCACATGGCACCGGTGAAGGAGACTATGGACGAAACTGTCATTACGATTACCAATGTCCAGGGGTCCAGAAATGCTGTTACGTATACTACTCTTTGAGAAGAGTTTGCATGGTTCCTCAAGAATATAGAAAGCCAGGAGCTTGTCCATACTATCCCAACATTGGCGGAGCTGGATCATGTAACCATGACTATCATTGCGGTGGTTCTCTAAAGTGCTGTAGAGGACATTATGGAAATGTGGACACTTGCTCTTTTCCTGTATACTACAGAGGAGGAGTCGGACCTGTTGGAGGAGTCGGACCTGTCGGACCTGTAGGAGGAGTTGGACCTGTCGGACCTGTAGGAGGAGTTGGACCTGTCGGAGGACTCGGACCTGTCCTTGGAGGCGGTCGTAAGAGAAAATATGTGTATTAAATATGCAAACTTTATAGAACACATTGAAGATAAGTTTGGGGCCTTGTAAAACAATGGAAACGAAAATGTCAACTTTGTTTAGACGTTAATAAAATTTGCATATAGTCTGTTATATATTGTCTATTTATTTAAACCATATACAGTAAATGAATTTTATTTGGCTTGTACTACATGTATATTTGGATGAAATTGTTTTTAACAAGTTAACGTATATGTACTTTATATATATATATATATATATATATATATATATATATATATATATATATATATATATATATATATATATATATATATATATATATATATATATATATATATATATATAAGCACTAAAGATGACCAACGACACGAACAATAAAAATTGTCAAATTTTCGGAGCGACCTGTCCCTTCCTCAGGACAAAGAAAAAAAGTTAAGAAGTCATGAAAAGAAAGGAAACAGAAAAACAAAAACAACTTGCACTACTACTTAACTACCAGACACTAAATATTTACAATGTTACATTTTTAATTTGAAGTTTATAAACAGTTGTGAAGAGAGAAATACGGAGCGCTATGAATTGCGTCCGGTCTATCGGGTGTACTCTGGTGAAGTGATATATGACCCCCCAAAAAATACGGAGAAAAATTTTTGACAGTTTGACAAATTTGTGTTTCTTTCTCAACTGTATATTTTTCTGAAAATTTATCAGCCAGGGGACATAAATCAAAGAAGTAATTTACTGTGGCCTTATGCATACTTTCTTTAATGGCTTATCGAAGGTAAAGATGATCCAAAAATGGAATGCATACTGTAAAGTTCTCTTTGACAGGAATGTGAAAGTTGACGATAGGAAACTTTGACGATTTTTAGAAATTCTTCAATTTCGTCAACATTTTCATATCGTCGAAGTTTCCACTTTTATAGTAGACAAAGATCATTAGAATCTGATAACAAATTGAACCTCGCATGTTACTGATATATCTAAATAAGTAGAATATTTCTACCATTCACTCATAAATAAAAAAAAAGGCTGAAAGCGAGGAGGTAAATGAAGGAAAAGAAATACACGTATTTGAAGGAAAGGAAATACACGTATTTGAAGGTAAGGAAATACACGTATTTGAAGGAAAGGAAATATACGTATTTAAAGGAAAAGAAATACACATATTTGAAGGAAATGAAATATACGTATTTGATACTCTATCTATTAAAGCATGAAGGTTATGAGCAGAGATTGCGGCCGATCGAGCTGTTTTGAACTACGTCTATATTCAAAACGTATCGGATGTAAAAATATTTATTCCAGAAAACACGTTTTATCCTTACACCTCTCAACCATTTGCTCATAAATAAAAAGGGAGGGATATTGAAGGTAAATCGAAGAAAGAAATATGTGAAATACTATGGAATGCGGGAGCTGACTTAAGGGTACAAAATATGCATCATAGTGTCAATTTTACATAACATTAAGTTTATTCTTTATATTATTAAGTCCACTTTATATGATATGAAGCACACAATTTATACCATTAAGTCCACTTTGTATAATATGTAGTATACAATTTATACCATTAAGTCCACTTTGTATAATATGTAGTACACAATTTATACAATTAAGTCCACTTTATATAATACGTAGTATAGAATTTTTATCATTAAGATTTATATATTATCAAGAAGAGTATATATATCATTACGTAGGTCTGGGTACTGGCTAGAGATTTCGTATTGCGATATATTGCCATGCTTGTAACTGTATTGCGATATGCATTGCAATATTTTCATAAAAAATTTAATGATATATTTTTATTATATTAACTTCCTTTTACATGCAGAATGTACATAACTATGATAAATAACCAATAAAAGATGCATGTATCCTTCTGATAGAATAACAGTTATGTAACTAAATACATCCATACAACAGCTTTTTCTTAGTGTTTGGTATAATCGCAAACCTTTCTGACAACTTTTCTTTATATTTTATGATAGAATTCCTGAGTCTAAGCATTTTGCCGGTATATCGATATAACAAAAACGTATTGTGATGCGGTATTTCTTGTCAACGTACCACAATATACCGGGATATCGGTATTATTGCCCAGCTCTTTCATTAAGTCCACTGCCACAACTGTATTAATGATACAAATTATGCATCCTAGAGTCAATATTATAATAACATTAAGTCAATCCTTTATACCATTAAGTCCACTTTATATAATATGTAGGACAGAATTTATATCATTAAGTCCACTTTATTTAATATGTAGTACATAAATTATATCATTAAGTCTACTTATTAGTCCCCTACCGGTGAAACCGGAGGGGACTATAGGTTTCCTCAGAGTCTGTCCGTCTGTCCGTCTGTCTCTCCCACTGTCTGTCTGTCAGTCTGTCCCACTTGGTTTTCCGCACTATTTTCCTAAACGCTTGCAGATATTGAGCTGATTTTTGGTATGCTTGATGAGATACAGATCAAGTTTGCATTTCGTTTCGTTTCATTAATTTTTGACGGAATTACGACCTCCTCGATTTTTAAGGGTTTTCCGCAATTTTCTTCTAAACTCTTGCAGATATTGAGCTGATTTTTGGTATGTGACTTTACCTTGTTTAGTTATAGATCAAGTTTGCATTTCGTTCCACTTCATTGATTTTTGACGGAATCATTGCATTTTCAATTCTTAACAGGAACCAGATTACACTTGCCGGTAGGGGACTAGTATTGCTAATGCAATACTCTCAGAATGCTTGTTTATAAAGCAAAGTTTATGAAGAGTTTCTTATCATTGCAAAACACCATAAAACTTTTCTAATTTCATATCATGCTAATTAGCATTGGTATCTAATGCTAAATAAAAAGAAAAGTCGATTTCTTTAAATCTGTATTTTTAAACATACCTTTGTAGGGTAAAAATATAAACGTTTAAAAGACTGTTTCTAAAACTTCAAAAATCCTTGAATCACATTGAGATGCATAAAATGAAAATTGCTGCATGAAAAGATTTCATATTTAAGCTTCATGTTGAGACTTTTTGAATCAAATAATAAATTAAAGAGTTATCCTTCCTGCCTGAGGATCGGATATCCTTAAGCTAATAACATTCAAATAGCAATTTACTGAAGAATGCAGAATATTCAATTGGTAGATACATATTGTAGACGTATACTTTTTCCGCGTGAGATTAATTTACTCTATGTACGCTGTCAAAATTTTCGCGGAAATTTGTCACAGCGTTCTTGGAGTGAATTTAAGACATACAAAGGTTATACAGGAAATCCAAGTAATTTTCTAACCACAGATTGAACAGAAATTGTGATTCCGAAGACTTCTGACCTCGGGGGAAAAGTATGTTTGCGATATGTATTTGTTCTCGAACGGCCCTTGCATTTTACATGTGTCACAGAAGAATTTTGTATTCCCCTGCATGAAAATACTGTTGTACTTAATACGGTGTGCTGTATCCTAACATGTTACAGATGTGGAGGATCATGGTTGTTAGGTACACAATCAGCGTAAACTAATAAAAAAGAATACGAAACGCCAAGACTAAAGTTAAAACATCTTTAAAATAGATAATATATTTACAATATAAAGAAAAGATATATGGAAATTGATGGCATTTTTCAAATCTATGGCATGAATATGTATTTAAGGTATTGTGTTACCAATATACGTACAATAAACTAGTGTTTGGTAGGATCGCCTGTGTTTCCGGCAATGGCATCATGTAAACAAGAGAGCTACAAAAATGGTCACAATGAGAAGTTTGATTGATTGATTGATTGATTGATTGATGATATGTTGTTTTACGTCGAATTATGCATTATTTCACTCATATAGAGACGTCACCATATACCAGTGAATGGCTTCAAAATTAGACTTATACTCGGCATTCAGGACCATTGAGCAGTAAGGTTGCTTCATCACCCCAACGCCTATTGTTTCACGGTCTCAAGGTTCCATCCGAAATACCCTTAACTTTCACTTCTAATACTGGGTGCTTGGCAAAGAAACAGTCACTGCCTATGTTTATGTCCTTAGTTTCACGCGGCGCGGCGAACTAGAATCGAACCCGGGCCTACCGATCACGAAGCGAGCGCCTTACCACTATAGGCTACCGTGACCGGTCGCATAATATTTGGTCCGCCTCGTTTTAAAGGTCCGGGGGGACCTAATACGATAACATATAAGGTCCGGCCTGCCTCTGTAAGAAAAGGTCCGCCTTTGGTTTAGTATGCAGATTTTTCCCCTTTATTGATTCGAAATTAATTTGCTTAATTAATCTTTTTAAATTATCTAAGGTATAGTTGTTACAATAGTGTCCCTCCCAGCAAAATGGAGTTCCAGGGACGTACATGTACATTGTACATGTATATATACTAACAGGATCAAGACTTGCGATATCTCGCTAGTTGCTGGATTTCGTTAGTCAATTTTAATTAATTATATTTCTAATGCTATCAAATATTTCAGTACAAAACTTCAAATTATCCATCAAAAAATTATTCAAAATTTGATGTTAGCACTGATTAAGTGTTAGCTCCTTATCTTAGTACATACCTCCCAGGTAGTGCACAAAACAAAAAATATAAAAATGCAAAAAAATCTGTTGATCGAGTTACCTTATGGGAAAATCATATACGACTTGTGTCTTTTATAGTTTGTGATATCAATACTATCATTGCAAAATAAAAAAAAAATACATATATATAATACGTATACCTTCACTGGCACATTGTTCAGTATACAGTGTTCGTAAGTCCAACAATGATCATTCATGACAGTCTCTTTCCTAACAGCGTTCGACTTCCACTTCCCAAAAGAATTTTCATATCTTTCGAAAGATATTTCGTTATATTATTAATAATAACTGTGCATAATTCTTACGATTCATATTGTAGTTAACTGTAAAATAAATGAAGGGTCACTGTGACAGGGACTTGTGTTACGGTGTACTTGCCTTTATCCCGTTGTTATTAAAACAACATGTCTGTGCATTAGGAGTAGGCCTATTGTGTCACTTGACGAAACTTAGTAAGTCGCATATCCCCTGTGTTTTTATAACCATCGTTTCTTATCCAGTTAAAGACTAACGATTGATATTACCCAGGGGTTAACACTGGTTA